CACACCCCCCACCCCCCTCCGCCCCCGTAAAAACAACTTTTGGCTGAGGTGTGACCCTGAAAGCACACCGTGCCCCCCAGCCAGCGGGTCTGCAGCAAGGTAAGGCGCGTCAAAGTGCTCGGGAAGCCCCGGGGCTGGAATGAGGGGTGAAGGCAGAGGGTCAGTCCGTCCATCGAGGGATGAAAAAACGGCGTTTCCCAAAGGGTTCCAAACGCCACCTGCTGTTCCTTTCTCCCCGAGCCTGACGGGGACTGTCCCTTGCATTTCCAGCACCCAAGGTCTGCGATGCCTGCAAAAACAAAAACGAAGACGATAATGACATCGTGGAAAACCTCTGCAAAAATGACTTTGGTAAGTGGAAGCAGAGCCGCCCTCCCTTGAAACTTGAGAGTTAAAGATCAGGTAAAACTCCCAGCCGAGTCAGCGAGAGACGTGCCTGAAGGAAGGCAAGGCTTTTGTCTTATCTGCAGATGGACCCATCTGACTGCTGGGTCATGAAACACAAAATTCCACCTCGGAATAAAAGGTAGCCCTTTTTATAGTCCTTTTCTGTTTGCTGTTTCAAAGTAGCGCTCTTTTGTGTGGATGTTGCTGGCAGGCCAAATAAAAAGTAAAATGGAAAAAAAAAAAAAAAAAAACTTTCATCCCAACCTGGGGAGAAGCAGAGCAAAGCTTCTTCGTTTAGATGTATAAGAAAGAGCTGCATGACCAATCTCACGTATGAAAGATTCTCTCCACAGATTAAGAATAAAGCTCTATATATCATTTAACAGAGAAGGTAACACACAGACAATTGGGGATATAAACTTAATGAGAAGATCTGAGGTTAGAAGAGGACAAGAAATCCCCTTGAACACAGACAACTGAACGGCATATTATCCACACATTAGCATTTCAAGAGAGAAAGGGAACAAGGAGGGGAATCCTTTTATAATACCTCAATGTTTATACCTGGAAACAGATTTCTAGTATAAGTATCTACAATTCAGAAGTCTTTCTTTACAAAAAAAAAAACAAACCCCAAAAAAACAACCAAAACCAAATCACCCCCCAAAACCTGAAACCATGACTGTGGGACATAATTGCTAAAACAACCAATAGCTTTGGCCTGGCAAATTGCACTCGGATAAATCCTCCTAAAGCTAAACATGCCTGACAGATTCTTACAAGAGCCCTGTATCCCCCTCCTAGTTATTTTACCAAATCAAATGCAGCTGTTGGACCAATTTGCCCTCTACGGGATCTATTCTTTCAAAAAAACAATGCATGTGAAATATCATTTCCTTACAGGTTTGCCTAAAATCCTCTCCCGCCTAATAAATTAAGTTTAGAAGTTTTCAGGCATAGCAGAGATCAGGTTTCAGATTAGGTCTAGGTACTCGCCTCCCCACCTCCCCTTCAAACTCTAGTTTCAGGAAAACTGTCCTCTCCCAGTAAAAAACAGAGCCCTGCTTAATGTAGCAAACCCGTCCTCTCTCTGTTTGCAAACAGGAGAAAATCTGGAGAAAATAATAATTTAGAAAGGAAGGAAAGAGAGGGGGAGGGGGAAGAGGAGAAAAGAAACCCAAAAACCCTCAACCCTAAGGTTGATTCAAACTGAAATGACTTGCATGCCCTTTGTGGCTTTAGAAATGGAGCCACCTGCTGCCTCTTCTGTCAGCCCTGACAGTTTAATTAGCAATAGAGCACCTCCCTCCCCAGGTCCTCTTTATGTGCACTAATGGGAAAAAAACCTCTCCATCTCTCTCCTCCTCTCCCCACTTCCCCCTCCTCTCACTCTATTAGCCTTGAAGATAAAAGTGAAGGAGATTGCCTACATCAATGGGGATACCAAGATCACCCCTGAAACAAAGAGCAAAACCATCTACAAGCTGAATGGGCTGACGGAAAGGGATCTGAGGAAGATTGTGCTCTGGCTCAAAGGTGGCCTCCAATGTACCTGCGATGAGATGAACGACATCAACGTCCCCTACTTGGTGATGGGGCAAAAGCAAGCTGGGGAACTGGTGATCACCTCGCTGAAGCGGTGGCAGAAAGGGCAACGGGCTTTCAAGCGGTTCTCCCGCAGCATCCGCAAACTGCAGTGTTAGTGGCTTCGGCTCCGGCCGCCTCCAGCAGCCGCCTCTGTCCCGAGCTTTCCGGGCCTCCCGCACCTTCTTGCTTCAACCCCTCTAAGCCTCGAGATGCTGCAGGCATGAGACATGGTGACCGCTCTCTGAGAGGGGAGGGAGCCCTCCGGTTTTGTACATAGGTTAAAATGTAATAAAAAAAAAATCATTACTATTTTTGGGAAGTATTAAAGTATCTCGCTTAAAGCCTTTTTTTTTTTATGGTTGCAAATGTGACTTTGGTCTGAGGTTTTTCCCTCTTCGTTTTGGTAATGCTGGTTCATTTATATTGCTGCTTCTCTGTATAATACCATGCATGCTTGTTGTGCAAAAGTAGGAGATGCAGAGAAAGACAGCCACGTGTGCGACTGGCCTGTCACAGTGGGTATGACTTTCGCCGAGGTGAAATGGCTTGCCGTCTATATTAACACTATAAAGGTCATGATACGACTCTTGCATGTGATACATAGGCACCAGTAAGAGTGTGTTAACCATTCTCACATTTTATTTTCCACAAGTCCAAGCCCTTCTCTCAGATAAAAACAAACAGGCTTTGGAGCTGGTTGGTCTGAATGCAACTTTTTAGTTATTATTGTTTTGCAAATTAAACCATCTGTAGCCTAACTGTAATATACCTAGTGGTTAACCTGAAAGAGTTGTAAAATATTGCTTTAATTAACCTTGTAAATAATCCAGATAAATGTTATATTCTTGTATATAAACTTTACATCATAGTTTACCCATTGTCTCGGTCTGTATTCACTTTAATCTCTTTTGGGAGAACTGGGAGAAAGCTGTCCAACTGGGCTTTGTCGTGGCAAAGCAGAATTTGGCCTTCCACTCCAAGTGGCCGGTAGAGAAGCATGAGGAAGCACCTAGCGCTGCCATAAGGAAAAACATAGTGGACTTCATTTCCCCAAAAATGAGCCCATGAGACACAGGACTGAGATTCAGCCAACTCAAGTTAATATGTGTCTGTTGAGCTCTTCAAGATGAAGTTTTCTGTGGCTCCTTTGCTCGCCGCCTGCATTTTCGTCTCATCTTCTCTGAAAAGTCTGCTCTTTGCTGATGGGGAATTGCAATGAGAACATTTGCTTGAAAAGCAAATCCATTTATGTGTTTCTTACGCTTGAAAAAGACGTATTAAATAGTGCTAGAATAGACAGAAAAATCTCATTTGCAACTAGCAGTTCAGAATATCGGTAGAGCAAGCCATGGTCCGTGTGTATGTACACTTGCTATTCTCACTGAGAAAGAAAATAAAACCTACCTAATAGTGTAACTAGAGAAGTGTTTTTCAGCATTTTCCTTACAAATATTTTCTGATGAAGAGCATTACCTGCTAGAATTTTATTGTATTTATCCCAAAAATTAGTCTTGCTTCCCAGTGCTGTCACACATAAAAATTCCTTTGAGCTTCACTGAGAGGATGAGCAGTCCAATACTCCCAAGGACAACATTTTATGTTAAACATTCGCAGACAGAATACAAATCCAACACTAGATATTTCTTTAAAGTAAAAAATCATATTAATATCATATATTTAGTATGGTTTTTGTCACCATCAGGATAAAAAGATAAAATCTAAAGATCCATTACATTACAATTATTTTAGAAAAATGAATTGTTTGCCTTCTCCCAAAGTCTTAATGCCCTTACTATACCTGGTACAAACACTGGTAAGACTCTGACCAAGCAAGCCCAGAGCAGTCCTCACAAATGTCCTCAAAAGTATAACAATTCGGGGAAAAAAAACACCAAACCACCAAAAAAAAGCCCCATTCCAAACTGAGTCTTCATGATTTTGTGAAACAGTATCTCTATTTAAAGGCAAATACATTGCTGAAATGTCGTTAAAACTTTCCTTCTGAATGGATCTGGCTTCCCAGGAACCATATTTGAGTCTTTTCATGCTATGATGTAGCTTTTTTAATACCAGTACTCCATCCACCGTCTTATGAAGCCATCAGCATGAGGATGTCACATCGCTCTATCCATCTCACTCAGCATATACTGTAGTATCTGTCCCTGAACAGCCTTGGATTTAGAGGGAACAAACTGACAGATAAAGGAGCTGCCTGAAGATGAGCCTGCAGAAAATGGGCTTGTGCTGCCTGGTGGAGGAATGCACTTGGAAGAGGCAGTTGTTGCATTGTAGTCTCTGGGGATCGAAAAAGAACAGCCAGGACTGCTCCACTCAGCCTGCCTTACAGATACCAAGTCCTCTTACAGCAACCATAAAATTATCTTAATTGGGCTGTCCTAGAAGGCAGCACTACTGATGCTGATGAGGACAGACCGGTCACAAGTTACTCACTCTGGGGTCATGTTAAGGCCAAGACTACACAACAGATTTTTGCCAAATCACTTACATGTATGAAGACACGTTACCTACGATCAACATCGTTCTGTCTTAAAAAAACCCAGACGTTCCCCTTCCTCCACCACAAAATAAACACTGTTACACCAGCAAAATCCTGTTCCTGTCAGGACGAATTCAGGACAAGAAGAATAAACTAGACTGGCAAACATCCAATTTTACTGGTATAAACAGCATCCTGGATTAAGAGCATCCTGCCATACAGCAAACCCCTACTGATAAAGCCTTCTGCATGTGGCCCTAGGCTGAATCACTTCGACTGTCCACCCTCAGGGTGAATTGGTAGAGGCAGGATTACCTTTCAGATAAGCAGGATTTAGGCAAATGTGAAGAGTAATAGAACTCACGTTTTCCCAGTTTAGTTTCATTACCTCATTCTAACAGCATCACGTTAAAAGATGGGTCATATTCACCTCATCAAGGAGAGGGAGAGTCAGTGTACTTTATACTATCTGTTTCCGAAGGTGTATAAGCCAGATATAGCAAACTATTCAACTGAAAATTAGGATTTTAAAGTCACAGCCTGAGGAAACTTCATCTCCCAGATGCTGGCAAAGAAATAAACACATAAATTTTTCACATAAAGTTGTTATTCTTACTTGCTCAACAATAACTGAAAATCTTCAACTATGCCAGGCAAACAGTGAACCAAACTTGTAACAAAGTAGTGATCTGAGCCTGTTACTTCTGATCAGGGTGTCACATACACTTCAGAGTATTACCTGGTCTAATATGGTATGGTATGATTCAGTTCTAGCAGACTTTCTTTTGCAATTGATGAAAAAAGACAACCCACTGTTGCATTTTTCAGACACTTCTTGTCTTTTTCTAATTAAACCAACATTGTTAGGCAGCCAATTATGTAGCTCTTATTGTACTTGCTTTCATAAAAACTATAAAAGCAGTTGACTACAATGGATTAGTTTAAGAACAATAATAATGATACTTGACATTTATACAGAAGTTTCCATTTAAGTTTCTCAGACTGCCTTCACAAAAATAGGCATTAATATCCCTATTTTGCAGATCAGGAAAATGAGGCACAGTGAAGTGAAATAACTCATTCAAAACCACCCAGCAAGTCCTTTACAGTCATGAAAAGCAGCATATTTTTTGTCTTCAAGTTTTATGCTGTAATCACTAGACCACAGCAATCAGAATGCTGTATAATCAAGGCAGCACTTAGATTATAATTTCAAAGCATAACAGCAACTCAGACTCTCTACAACTTCTTCATCCCTCTGAGTGTGTAAAAAAAAAAAAGACTGCCCAAATTCAAATTTAAAACCCGTCAGCAATATTCCTTGCAGTCTTTTCCTCTCTTCCTTATTTATCATTCTCTCTATCCTTTAATTACTTCTTAATCCTTTCCTTTCTCCCTCACTTCTCATTCATTTCAAACACCCACAGAGAAGCCACTCAGCCCCTCTCTCACCCCTCTCATACAGACTTTCGCCCTCAGTACGATTTATTAAAGAATTCATGCAGTATAACTACACACAAGCCACAAAAATCCTAATGACCAGCTTAAGACATAAAAAGACCCATGCGGGAAATTCAGTGAGAGACATTTAAATTTAATTAATGATTTTCTGGGAGAACAGGAGAGCGGTTAGATGCCACAAGGAGCACCACAGACACATGCTGTTTGCCTCAGGCAGAGCCACTATTCCTATTCTGCAGCAGCAGAATATAAGGATATTTAAAATAATATAGCAAACATGAAGAACACACAGATAAAACACCTTCCCTTGCAAGGCCAGGTCTCCTGCACATCTCAGCCCCATTGTTCCCCCACTGGGGCCACAGTCCACCTCTCTCAACCTTCTTCTAGATGTCTCACTACCTCTCTTCAGCCGCTGGGGACATCAGCCAACAGCAGAGCCATCGTGACTCAAGAACAGACTGCCTCATCATCCCCTGGGTGCCTGCTGGGGCATGAGTGACCCCCGTGCAGCTGGCCCCATGCAGAAGCCCCTTTTTTGCTGCTTCTGCAGCCTGCTGCCATCTTCACCAAACCTACCAGCACCATAAGCCCTCATGACATGCCCACAGTTGGCAACGCCAGAGGAAGGTCAATGGATTGATTCCTACCAGAGCAGTAGGCAGCCTTCCTTAGGTCAGGCAGCCCAGGCCTTTGATATTGAAGCCAGAGTTCCTATTGCTAGGCTTCAGAGACACGCCTGTATGATTTATCTAGAAGTTGCTTTCTTATCAGCAGATGTAGATTCAGTACAGCCTGACTCTCTCATGAAACAACCACAGGAATGGGTCTTGTTTGCCTCTGTACGAAGAAGAGAGTGCAAGATATTCAAATCACAGGAATCCAAGACCCCAAGCTGTCTTACTAACATAAATTAATCTATGCTATATCCCTTTGGGGTGAGTTTAATAGGGTAACAATTTACAAACGCATCAACCCCCTTCAGGGTGAGCCATGGGCTCCTAAATCACCCAGATGCCTTGGAAAATATTAGCCGCTACCCCCCACTAGAGTTAAAGCCAGTTGGCCGAGGTCAGCCAGCAAGCCTGTCACCCAGCCAGGAGGAACACCTCAGCCATCAGCCAGCCAGCCCATCGTTCTCACAACTCATCAAAATAACCAACCACCACAGAAAGCTGTGCCGTGAAGCAGCTGATGGAGCAAACTTCAAAGCCAATTACTACACACACAGAGAAGCTGTCTCACCAGAAAGACCAGCACAAATTAGGACGTATGCTCAGTGTCGTACAGAATAGACACAAGAAAAAACATATATGCCCAATGTCTTACAGAACAGACCCAAGAAAGAGCATGTATACTTTCTGAGACTCATGATAAGGCAATACTATTAATGCAACTCTTTCAAAACCCAAATGCTGCAGATCATCCTTTTGGAGTAATTTTCAGTCCACAAAGGTGATGCTAAGATCACAGAGAATTGGACACAACAGGTTGCCAGTAGAGGCACAATCAAAACTCACAAGGAGTCGACTCCCAGATTTAGGGGTGATCTGAAAGGGTAGCAGAAATGCTAATTTAAGCACTCTTTCAACTTTCCAGGTCTTTGTTTTCAGAGCTTAACCCCAGCAGTCTTCATTAGACATTAAACTTTCCATATGGAGTCACTATGGAAGGACAACTTAAGAGTTTTCCATTGATACCTGCTTTTATCAGGCAAGAGATAACTAATCCTTCCCTGGCAATTTCCCTGCATTGTTAGTTTGCTTCAAATCCCTAACATTGTCTAATTGCCTTTTTTGTTATGTGAATCCGCAGCCATGCACAATAGCAGAACTCTGGCTGCTTACACACTGAGACAGGTGCTTTAGTGGCTGCAGGGCTCACATCATTAGGCACACACAGAGCTATTAATCAT